AAATTAATGCTGTCAAAGAGTCTCTGGATGTTTAGCAGTAGCGTAGGCTATGTTTATTAACAGCTATTTATAGAAGCTTTTTGTGAGCTCTTTTATATTTTTTTTTCTTCCTTTTTTCTCTTTGTTGGTATGAAGTCTTTAATCATATCTGTCCCTCAATATAGCATTTGGCAACTTGGAAGAAATTAGTATCACCAGATTTGCCACTGCACACAGAATTGTGTGGAGGGGTCCGTTATAATAAGTGAATGGAACTGGTTGCATTTGGTTGAAAATTTGTCACTGGAAAATATAATTGATTTTGTAGTTAATATTCCCCGAAAGATARAAAAGGGAACCTACATAAAGAAAGTGTAGGGAGGGACCAAGCAGTTCTTAAGTATATGCTCAGATAGCTAAGAGGAGAAAAGATACGGATCATTTTGTCATTAGCATGAACTTATTCCACCTGGACAAGGATTATGTACAGTAACATTTGCCTGCCTAAGAGAACAGACATAATAGCAATTGAATATTTTCTAATCTGCATAAGGAAAAGGAGGCAGAATTTCCTGGTTTTTTAATATAACCTCTCTTTGCCAGGACTTTGGCCTTCAACAACTTCATTTTAATTGTTTCCCCCAAAAGAATTGCAACTAAGCTCAGAGCTTGAAAATCATTAATTTAGAATACAGCTGTCATTTAAACCTCTCTTACTCACAAGGCCGTGGCCAGGTTCAAGGACTAAACTGAAATTTAATTATTAGAGAATCTTGCCAGAGAAAGTGAAGGGAAGGATCTTTTTAAGGAGGTTATCTACGTCTATAATTTGAACAGTGCACAAAATGAAGCGGGAGAATTCTCATCTCTCTCTCAGGGTTATATGCAAGAATGTCTTCTTTATTGATGTAGCATTTGGTTTTTTTGTGAATATAGAATCCTTACTGGTGACTGTGAAAACTAGTCAAACTAGTTTTTGATTCTTAGTGTAGGTGAGAGAAGTTTCTAAATTAAAATGAAACTTCACTGTACTTTTATTGGGTTAAGAGCTGCAGTGATTATTTTACTTACAGTACCTCATGCAGAATGTTTGTCAGAAATCTTCAGAGAGGTCTAATAGGCAAATTAATATTTTGCTGAGAAGATTAGTGATAGTGAAGTAGGAAGAATTACTTAGTTATGTAAAAGTAGAAGATGAAGAGAAGTTACAGATCTCTGTAATACAGTTCTTTATTCTGTAAAGTTTTTTGGTGTTCTTGAGGTCACCAGTGATCAGACAATTAGTACCAGTACTGCAGAAAAAGCAAATCTGGGCAGTAGTTAGCCTGAGCAGATGTTAGCCTGTGTTTCCCTACGGTGAGGGAACCTTAAAAGCATTGATAAGAAGGTAAATGTGAACATTTGTGAGTTTTTTAGTATAGTTTTTGCTGACAAGAGAGTACTTCTGTATTTTCATGTGCTGGCAATATGTTTATTTCTAATTTTGTGGTCTCTGCCTGATGGAATTTTGATAAGGATCTTACACTGCATGAAGAGGTCAGTGACCTTGCACGTGTTAGTTTGTGTATTTTTTTCAAAGCAGCTTTCCAGTGATGTGATTAAATCATGGGAATGGTTCCATTGTCRGTTGTATCTTGAGAATTTAAGCTGCAGAACTTGGAGTAAGGCAACCAAAAAAGAAAGCAGTTTCCAAGTGTAGTAAACTTGACGATTGATTCAAACTTTCTTCCACAGCTGGGCAGGTGGAAAGAAAAAGACAAATGTTAACTTGAGAGCAGCTGTTTTGAACTTGGTTATTGCTATGCCATCTGGGGAGATGGAATGCTGTTTATTTAATAGCACAGGAGAGAAATATGTTTTTAAGGAGAAAATACAGCCATAAGAAGATGGTGGAGTTGTGCTTTCTGAATCCTTTTCCTGCCAGAGTGCCGAGGGAGGCTGTAGCAGTTGAGTGTGCTGTGCTCTGAAAAACCCTTAGTAGCAGGGGGACTTCTACATGCTTGCATGTGCTTTAAGTATTGCATTTCTGTGTAATTAGTATTACTTAAGAAAAAAAAGATTCAGCATCAGTATGAGAAGTAAATGCATATGAAAATAATGTCAGAGGACATAAGCAGAATCTTAGAGCTTCCCCCTTCCCCCACCTTTTCCCTAAGTTACCTTCTTGGTCCTGTTTTTGATCCCCTGTAATCTATTCCTTCTGCTCAGCTGTTCTTTTTTACCTTGTGTGATGTTATGTATGTCTTTCTCAGATTTGTTTTAATACAGCAATGCTTTGCAAGATGTGCTGTTTTATATGAGGTATGGGTTATATGGGGAGAAAAACCAACTTATTAAAATTTAATRTAATTTTTTTATTTTTATAGCTCATGCATCTGGATTATATTTCACTCAGCATGAGTAGTGTCTGGTAATTCTGATTAACAGTTTCATGTGGTAGCATCCAGGTGYGTGCATATTATTTCTTCTCTTGGGGATTTAAAACATTGCAAATGCTGGAAGAGATGATCTAGACTGTACTGTGCATATCTTAAAAAATCCCTTGGTAGCTGCCATAATATTTTTCTGAGATAATTAAACCTCGAGTAAAGGGTTATTGGTATCCTAGGGACATTTACATACTGCAGAAGCAGGGATAGGAGAAACAAAACTCAAAACCATCACCTATTGGGCCAGTTCTTTCTGTATAAGCTGTTACTTCTAGGCAGTGCGAACTCTTCTTACCTAACATATTGAATTGCTTGGTGAAGAAACAAACTGCTGCCTTAGGCCATCTTAAGTGATTTAACRATTCTTCTGCCAGTGATTTAAGATTTTCTGAAAGACCTTTCTCCAATAATCCTGTAGAAAGCACCAGGCTTACAGGAACACCTGTGATTTTGTTAATGTGAGTGGTAGAAACTTAGGAATTTGTTAATCTTGTTGAAGACAACAATTTTATTGAACTACATCCATGAACAAAAACAACTGTATTTCAGAAACAGACACTTTTCTTACTTTTGAAGAAGTGTGTAAATTTTTTTAGAGAAACTGTCTAGTTTCTATTGTATTAGCTTGAAACCAAGATTGTCTCAGTAATTTGAAGTTGGAGCTGAATTTATAAAGACCTCTAGGTAATTGAAGGATGTTTTTCTCCAGTGTGGATGTATTTATGATTTATTTCRGGAAATTTTATATACTTAGATTGGGTAACAGAGATACAGTAGATACAATGCTGCTGACTCCTAGGAGTAAGTGGCTTGTAGTGGTGAACACCTGATTATGCCTAGGAGGTCATAAAGTCACTCTAATTGATCTAGGTCATCCTAAATCTTCAGTCCCTTTGGGCTGAAAGTACAACTYCAGTGAGTTGTCAGACTCTTGTAKTCAGCCAGTAGTGACAGTCCTTTTATGAGGGGGAAAATCCTCAGAAAATTTGGGATAAGTATGTCATCAGTTTTAAAACACTATGTAGGTTTTTCAGCAATTAGTTTCATTTGGGAAGGAATTAGGTGGAACAGCTTGTAGATAATATTTTGATGGGTTTGATTAGCTGCTGACAYGGATAAAGGGACTGAATCATGAATCTTTCTAATCTGATAAAATATGCCTTTTATACAAGAACAAAGAAGCTCTAATAGTCTGTTTTCAATGTCTTCAAAGTCGTAACATAAAGATGRGTCTCAGTGTTTTGAAATTGCACCTTTCAATGGTAGGCAAGAAGGAGAATAATTTGTTACAGTAACTCCTGAACTTTTGTCTAATAGTTTTCACAAGACATTATAAAGTGTTAAAAAAMCCTAAATTAAATAATCCATTTAATTATATATGCTTTGCTCTGTTTTGCAAATAAAATGTGTGTTGTATAACTGAACCCCAAATTTGGTTGAGTTTTGGAGTAAAAAAGGTACAAAGGTACTACTAGGTACCTTACTTTTCAAGGTACCTAGTAGATCAAATATGGTAATGCTTTTTTTTTTAACTTATCTTTCTACCTTTCCCATCAAAACTGTGATAACAAAATGGCTTAATATGAGATACCAAATTAGGAAAGCATCATCCAAGTAATGAAATACACATTTTGAAACATCGACAGTGGAATTCTGATTTTGTATTGTTGGAAAAGCTCCTCTTGCTGCCTTAACCTTTCAAACAAGCTCTTAAACATACTTGTTTGCAATTTTGCAAAATGTTGAATACAGTTAGCTTTCTATATTAGAGAAACTTGACATTCAGGACTTTAAAGGGTTTGCTCTTTACACCTTAATTTGCAGAAGTTGGTAATTGGTACTGTGCCTTGCCATCTGTAGGGGAAATAGTTTAATTTCCACAAAACATGTCTGTATATCTATAAAAAATATGGAAAGGAATCTCTAAGTCTAGACTGCATAGTTGAAATAATTTTTATTTGAAGTTTATTGCCTAATCTACCATATGTAGTTGAATAAACCCATTTTTAGCATACTTTTGTGTAAATGTATTTGATTAAAATGTTATGCCTGCTTAATTAGCTTCAGAGACTTGCATTTCAGTAACTTCAAGATGTCTGCAAAAGTATACTCTGGCCACTTAAATGGAAGATAAAACCATGCTTATTACGTTTATCACATTTTTTGTAATTACTAGTATGATTTAAATTGCATTAATTTGCATATACTTACAAACCTCACTTTTTTTTTGACAATAATATTTGATACCTTGTTAAAAAAAATTTAWGTTTTATTTCTGTATAAAAGTACATGGTGTAGAGGGAACATTGGTTATAATGCTTGTCAATATAAAGCTGGTGGTCTACCTTGTATGTAAGAAACTGAGGATTTTCTGTGTGGGTAATCTAGCTTTTGTAAAGACATCTGACCCAGCTTGTAGACATTGTTATATTTCATTCTTCAATGGCAGTTTAGAGAGAAAGGAAACAGTGATAACTGATGTCTCAAATCCAGATCTTATTTTTATTCTCTTCAAACAGTATTGAATTTTGTTCAGCTAATAATAAAGGAAGACAGACATTTTGAGAATTACTTTTTTTGTTCCTTACACAGACAAAAGAAGTTGGTTTACTTGATGCAGACATATATGGACCTTCAATTCCAAAGATGATGAACTTAAAAGGAAACCCAGAATTAACACCAAGTAAGTGGAAGGGATTTTGCTTGCTATCTTTTTTATACAGGGATGAACATGGTCCGCTCACAGCTGCTTCCTTGGTGTGGCACAGAAGGGATGCAAACAGAAGATGAAGGCTGTGTGTATTTTTTAATTTATAGTATTAAGGATACTTTCAAAGCTAACTTGTACAATTCGGAGCACAGTCAGAATCCTATTTTTTCTTCATCTTGGTYTATGCAGTTTAATGGATTTGCACTACAGACTCCGGAAAGGAAGGTTATTTATTAATAGTTGTAAAATTGTTATATRGTATCCTACAGTAGATTATTTTCAGTTAAAGAAAAAACCCACTAATCTAGGGAAAGACGCTGAAATAACAATAAGAGATTGATCATTACAGTAGCTTGTATGAAATGTCATTAAAATGATAGTTTGATCTTTCTTCAACCAAATGTGCCAGGCCACCTGACTTACTTTATTTGAAGTTGTGTGTTTAGAAATGCAGTGGTGGTCACTTCCCTGCCAGAGTAGACAAAACTACTAATTTGCCTTCTGCTAGGAAGAATTCTGGAGAAACTTGAATTCAGGTAGAAGAGCCTTCAGAGAAATATGGAAACCCAAAGTAGAAAGGTCACATCAAGTCTGTTTACCATTCAGAAATTTAACTTTCACCCAGGCCAACCAAGGATAAAATGGCTTTATCTTGATACCCTGATCATGATGTTTGAGTGTAAGGCAGTGTGCTTTTTTGGGGTGCTAGGGACACTGGGGTGATATGGTTTGTTTGATACTTTGTTTTGATTGTCCTATGACAGAGTGCATGTAAACAGCTGTCAAATTGAGTACTTCCTACATTTAAGTACCTGGCTTACAAACACAGGTTTTATTTAGATAAATTCCTAAGAGAGAAGGAAAGTACTCTGGTTTTATTTGTTGGATTTTTGTTATATCTTTTGAAGTCRAAGGCTAATTAGGCTGAGTGTTAAATAAATAACTGAACCTTTTCATGTATCATGGGTAGTATTTGACTTCCTGATACAAACGGAAATATTGTTGCATTCACTTGTACTTTGAACTTCACTGAGGATTTATGTTATACAGGCTGTGTTTTCATGTTGCAGATTTTTTAGCTATGAATTTTGYATTTGAAGTGCATTGTGCAATATGAACACAAAATGGACTACATTGTGGTGTTCATATCTCTTTTCATTTTTATGTAACCTTGATTTCTGTTTCTCCATTTTTCCTCACTGTCTGAAAAATTGATTAGATAATTTAGAAGTTCATGGTAATTTTGCTATCTATTTCATCAATCCATTTCTTGAGCCAAAAATTGAAAAACAAGTTGCCCAGTCTATTGCTTAGACTTGTACAAATCAACCTGTCAGGAGTACAAGAACTTAAGACTATATTCACTCATATACTGAGCAGTTCGGTTTTGTTTCAGTGACCAGATTTTTCTGGTAAACTACTGAATAGAATTCACTATAAGCTATGTCTTGTTTCAAGCATTGTTAAAAATGCAGAATTCAACATAATAGAAAAAACCTGGAAGGTTTCCCTGAACTGAAACGGCTGCTGTTGTCTTCTAAACACTGGCTTTTGGTCACTTACATATATTCTCTCTAATTCTGTGTGGAATGTACAAGTAAATGTCAGGATTTAAAGAAAATACCTTTATTTTATCAGACAGAGAAACAAATTGGTATGTTTCAAAAGCTTGACAGATTACACAAGTCTGTGGAGAAAGACATAGTGATTTGGTATGAATGATCACAGGACAGAATTTTTATTTCAGGGATTCTGTTCAGTTCTCTGTGTATTTTTAACTATTGATTTGATGAACCTGCAGTAACAGCAGTGGAAGTACTGTCAAAGATGGTTTACTTATGAAATAGGAATGGGGTAGGAGACTAATTAAACTTTGATCAAGAGTTCGTTTAACGAGTGATAGAGGGAATAAGCTTGCACAGGAGYGATGAATCATAGGTGTGTGTGTATATATATATGGAATATCTATATAGGTGTATATATATAACTGTACTGATATAAAAACATGTATGACACTTGCATTTTGGTATAATGAAGTTTAGTGTTACCTTCTGGTTTCTTACTATATTCTCAAGAGTAAAATAAGCTCTGAAGAAATATTGCATAGCAATTGAGAAAGCCCAGGCAGTTCTGTGTTACAGAAGTGTGTAAACTATGTCTMCATAACAATAAGTCCATTAAAAACATTTTTCATAACATAGCAATGAAAGAAATCTTTAAAGTCTAATGCTGTCTTCAGTGTGATGCCTGGATTTGAAAATGAATCTGTAGCATAATCCTGGGAGGTTCTGAGCACTCTTGCAATCTTTGATTTCTATTTCTTTTCTCCCATGGAAAGGGATTAGGGATGCCTAATTTCATGCGAAATAAGTCCATGCAGCAATTATTACTTCTGAATAGAAATTATTATGGTTATGCTATAATTTAAGTATTCAGAATGAATTAGGAGTTTTTAGTGAGGAGAGAGTCTGTATAAATGGAAGCTACTACATTAATTTAATTTTGCAAACTGTAGTACATTGAAAAGTCTGCTAACATTTAATATGCTGTCATTGAAAATACTTCAACTAAATGATCAGGGAAATACTGGTTAATAAGTTCACAGCTGAATTTAATTAGCTAATGGAGGATTATCTAACTATAGAATAACTATTAGCATCAGCTACAGTATATATGCAGGGCAATGCTAATAGCATAAGTAACAAAAGCATTACTTCTTTCCCCAAGTAATTTACTTAAAAGCTGTTTTCTGGCCTAATGAGTCACATAATTTCATTTTTTCCTTTTAAATCTGCCATTCAAACTAGATGTCAGTGAGTRAAAATTACTGTATTGCCAAAAAATATTGCCATTTTGCCAGATAATTAAAGTTTCTTTATTTAGTTTGGTAATGAAGGTTTTGGTGGGTAAATCTTTGACAGTTGACTGCACTCTTAGTATTTCAGAACTTTGCSATTTTATTATAGCCTCAATGTCTTTAATTTTGTAATAAAATAGTATATTCAAAAGATCAGTAGTAGGCATCCGTTTCCACAATTTAGAATAAAATGTAATTTATTAGAAGAAGCTAGCAGTGTTTGTGGCTGCTCCATTGAGTCTAATAAAATTGCGGGACCATTGCAGAAATGGACACTTGAATTTTATCAATGGGATACATTTACATATCTTAATACTGATAGGAGGCTCTCATAACAGAATGTGGAAATTTACAATAGTTGTGACAGTTTAAAGTTGTCTGCTGAAATAGTATTGAGGGATCGTGGTGCATTCATTTCAGGGTTATAAATGGAAAATTTGGAGTGGATTAGTGAAATGGACAAAATGTTATGTAGGTAGTATAGTTATTTKGGTAGCCATGAAGAGTTTCTTGATCTTTGCTAAGGATTTAAATTTAAAGATATAGCTTGTCTCCAAGTTGTTCTTATCACGCTTTGTCAGTGGAACTGCATCATGATTAATTAAAAAAAAACCTATATTTGATTCTTTCAAAAAGAGTACTTGCAACTGACACTAGATTTGTGAGAACGTGATTTTTAGATTGTGTAATGACATGCTTTATTGATTCTATTTTAAAAGTAGCCTGAACTAAGATGCTGTGTTTTACTTTTGGTGATGTCTTAACCCCAGTTTATCTGGATGGCTGAAATACAAYAGTTCCATGTGTCTTACATGTGACAAAATAATAATTGAGAATGTCATAATTAATTGTGGTTTATATTTTAGAGGCTTTTTCAAACGTGATGAAGTAGTTGAAAATGAGAGGACTACTTCAGTGTTAAATATTTCATTCTGGACGTTGACTATTGCCCTCAAACTTGTAACAATAACCCTCAAGCTGGATTAGTTCAGCTAAGTTTCAGTCAAGTTCACTTGTGGAAAAAAATTATGACCTTTGCTTAGAAGAGAGAGGAGATGGAGGATACCCAATTCTGCAAGGAATTATTTATAGGCATACAGTTGTTACCTGCTCTCTAAAAAGAGAAAACCTCTAGGGAATGAATTTATTAAAATTTTATTCTTCATTATACATAAATTCATACAATTACAAAAAGTGTAAGATGAGAAATGTAGTGTAGTAATTAAAGCCTCTTACTGATAGTAGTCTTTTTAGATAAATGGCAAATCAAATTTTACCAAATGCCATTCAATATAAATTACTGAAACACTGTAACCTGAAATAATACTTTTTAAATACTTGAAGGCAGATTTGTACTCTTCATGTTGTTAATCCTGCAGTGCAGTAATTCTAAACGATTTGATTTGGATTTTGGCTAGCAGATACTCACTATATTATGAAGTTTACTCCTAGAGATACAAAYGATTTTTGGTTCAACTTGTATAAAAACTGGAATTAAATTGCAAAATGGCAATTTTGTTGTAGGAACAGGATGGATACTCTTTTCATTACACGTACATAAACAAAAGAAATTAATTACTCTTTTGTACACTGAACATGTTTACCTTTTTGCTTRTTTCAGAGGAACAAATGTTTCCATTGCTCTTGTCTGCTAGAAGACAAATTGAAGGACTGTAACTAATTCTGAATTTTCTCAATATTTTTACCTTGCAGTTTCAYTTTCGTGCCTTTTTTTCCTCTGCAGACTTCTTGCTGTATTCTTTCTCTTTCCTTCTCCTTCTCTGCCATACAGTGTGGTGGCTTTTCAGAATAAAGAAATAAAGCAGAATATATCAAAAATAGGAAAAAAGTGTGGTTTAATCCTTTCACTTTAGAGACCAGAGGCCAAAAGTGACAGTAAGAGTTTAAAAGCTAGCTTTCCTTTGCTTTAGTTGATGGTTCTCATAATTTATACACTGAGTGTGATGCCACATGGTATAGGATATCCCTTTTATAACTWGGGATCAGCTGTCTTGATTGTGGCCCCTCCCAGTTCCTTGTGCACCCCTAGCCTGCTTTGCTGGTGGGGTGGGGTGACAAGAAAAGACATGGACTCTGTAAGCATTACTTAATAATA